TCTCCGGTTATTGCGCCCGCCGCTTATTAAGCCCAATTTGGTCTGGGCCCGATGTGGGCTAAAAAGCCGGCGACTACTGTATCATCATTTTGCATATCTCTTTCCTTACACTATATTCTAGTCATACAATTCGTATTGTACTGTCATGACTCTCCGAAGTCTTATCGTTTCTTATCGTATGGATGAGTATTGACGTGTTTAGCAATTCTATTTAGCCCTGACTAAGCCCAGATTTATCACTGGCACGTTACGTTACTCGGTATGTGCCAACCTCAATGTTTTCGGGTCGCTACAGGACAACTCTCTCCATCATCGCCCCCTTCCACCCAGCAGCACTTTCCAGGACGCTAGAGAAAGCCCGCTCACACTTGCAGCCAAGAATGCCCGCTTCCTTTTAGACAATCCGAGTAGCAGTCGACGCGAACTGAGGACAGCACTAATCGCCCGGAAAATGGCGCATTTCAAAGTAGACATTGCTGAACTCAGCGAAACCCTCTTCTCAGCGCAGACAGAACTAGCCTACTAACTAAGAAAACGCAAATCCTGAAGCGTTGGACCAAGCACTTCCAAAATATCTTGAATTTTTTCTTCCAAAATCTCCGATGCCGTCAGTGACCGCCTGTATCAGGCGGAGAAAAATGCCGACCTCAGTCTCCTACCCACTTTTCCAAAAAAATCAGGGCGGTACAGCAACTATTCGACAGGAAAGCACCCGGATCAGACGGGATCCCTACTTAAATCTACAAATATGGGGTCCCCAGAATTTCCAGGACGTCAGAATCGTCTAACTTTACAAGCGGAAAGGGAATCGCCAACTCTGCGACGATCCCTGAGGGATCTCGCCCCTCAAAATCGCAGGAAAAACATTTGCCCGTGTTCTCCTAACCGCCTCAGCAACCAGCTGGAACAAGGTCTCCTGCCGGAAAGCCAGTGTGGTTTTCGTCGTCATCTCGGCACCATCGACTTTATCTTTACCGCACGATGTCCGCAAAAGAAGCGTGAGCAGATGCGCATCCACATCTACACGACTTTTGTGAAAGCATTCGACATGGTGAATCGCGACGAAGTGCGGAAATAGGCAGAAAAGAAGAAGGTTTGACGCTCACCAGAATCATAATTTTATTCGTTTGAGGATTCTAACTCTTGCAGGAGTCCATCATCCGCGATGGAAGCGTCAACAGAACAAGCAAACAATATTTTTAGGGGCAGGCGGGGAGGGAGGAGGAAGGGACTTATTAACCACCAGCGCCGTTAGTCCAGTGGTACCAGGGTGGTACCAGTGGTACCAGGGTGGTACCAGTGGTCCAGGGTGATGTATGTGGGTAGCAGCTCGATACACTACCCTCGACTGCTCACGGGGATATAATCGGTCCTTGATTCTCATGATCCGACTGCGCATGATAGCTTTGGGACGGTGTGCAAGTCCGACGCTTAGTCCTGCGGCAATGCGCTCGGTCGCTTTTGACCCACCCTTGATTTATGGCAGAGTATGCAATATCGTACAGATTAGTTCTGGTTGGGTTATCGGAGAGCGAGCACGTAGGCATCGGGGGACGGTTGATTGGCCCCTGTCCCCTACAAATACTGCTTGCTTTCGTTGACGTTTTTATCTCTGACGAAGGACACCCGCAAGAGTTCGAAAGCCCAGACGAATGAAATTATGATGCCAGGGATCGACACGCCTTCTTCGACTTCTTCTCTATTTACACACATACTCGGGATGCGAACATTTGCTCAAATCGGAAGTGGAAAGTTATGCGGCAATTCGGCTGTCCTGAGTGCTTCACGCAATGATACGCCAGCTCAACGACGGGATGATGGCGCGTGTCACTGATAACGAAACGATTCCCGAAGCCTTTGCATTGCCTAAGAGTGAAACAGGACTGTGTCCCGACAGTATTATCGAACGGGGTGGACATGTGGAACCTCCAGGAAGGCATGGCAAGAAACAACCAATTCCCGTCATTGCTACCTCTGTGGTACTGCGTGATCAGCACCACTGCTCTGGCTCATCTTGCCTTCGCCTGTCAAGCTTGTGTACTCCCACGTGACAATATCCCCCTCAAGTTTCCTTTCGATCCGCTGCCGAACCGCCCGCATTATCCTTTTGTCCGCCTCACGCCCTCGGTCGGTTCGCTGCTTGAGCCACATGAAAGCTGGGAGCCAATCAATGTACAAAATTTCACTGATTGGCTGCAGGCACTAGAGTAAATTCTCAGGGGATCAAGTTATCCGAACAGTGGACACAACACAACCTAAGAGACCGATTGATAACTGTTTACGGAGCCCTTTGTAAAATGCTTTGTGGCAGTAAACGCTGCCCAAACTTATCAGTCTTCCCTGATTAGGGAAACCCGTCGTCGACTTCACAATCTTCGACAGTTCCGATGGATACCGAAGGTGAAGTATCAGGAGAAAATTCGCGACACCGCAACCGGGCGTCTTTAGTATCCACCCCAAGCAGAGGCCAATTTAAATAGCGACTGAGCAGCCGCATCACAAGGCTGGACGAGCAACTAATTACGCGACTGTTCTACGTTTAATTCGCTGCCGCTTCCTGTAGACAAGACTGAAAAAACGTTTCGACAAGCCCACTCCCTTAAACAAAAAAATCCCTCCTGGGGAGTGAGCCAATTAGTAGAGTATCCAACTTCTTAATCAGCCGAATAGCCACTATGAAGGCAAACATAAAGGCTCAGGAAACTCATGCGTTAAAATCAATGAGGCATTAGCTCAACGCCGAGCCCATGACCCTTTCAAGGTCAGCCTTTGTAAATTTGCTCACGTTTTCGTCGGTTACCACGCCGATGATGCTTATGCAGGAGGATCGGAGAGACAACGTTACTGGGCGATTTTGGGTTTCGGGCGAAACATCATCTAAGATATAAACAGTGAAGTTCTACTTTCG